GTAAGGGTTTTAAAATGGGGTGTAGAATTTTTACGCGTTACCGCGTCTCGCTTAAGTGGGCCATTCCCGGTGGCCTCAGCTCTTACTCGTCTTCAAATTTCCAGTTCGAGTCGCCACGAGACGCATGTCTCATTTCTTCCATGGCCGCGGGTCCGAACCAACCGTCTTTGCTAGTATTCAAGACGGTCGTGGAGTCTGGAGATTCGAGAAACTGTGCCCATTCGTTGAAGAGTTTCTTGAACATCGCATTTACTTTCGGGTTTAGGAAAGTTGCATTGCCGCTTTTGGTCCCCGTGCCAATCTAGGATTGCATTGATGGGTACGCCGACCATGCCGGACTCGTTGAAAGCAGGTGCTGTCGTCAAGAGAATTCAGCAACTCCAGCATATGGACATACCCTTCCAAATTCTTGTATTCATGCCTTTGAATGGCGTTTGAAGGAAGTTCAGGATCCTTGTACTTTGGTGGAACTTCATCGAACATGGAGTGAAAGAGTATGTAGATGGCTGGATCAGAGTCGATCAGGTCCTGGAACTCAGATATGATTGGTACGAAAGGATTTGGGGGAGCGGCCACTTCCTCGATTATTTTGTGTACCCATGTCTGGATGAGTCCTGCATCTCCAGGTAGCCAGTTTCTATGCCGCGGGATGTTGGGGCTTTGGGAAGTCTCTCCAAATCTTTCTGGTGGAGGATATTGAGTTGCTGTCATTTTCGAAAGCGATTTAATCGAAGTATCTCTAAAGGCTGCACCGGAGCAACGAGTGGCATTCAAGAACACTTCCCAAAGCGCCAATCAATAAGATACAGTGAGAACTTCTGCCTTTATGAAGAGTGAAAGGGCGAAATGAACTAGATGATACTGAAGTGGAAACATGGCACTTGCGTCATTGCCTCCACTAACAAGTACTGGGCTATGTAGATTTAACGCGACTAGTGTGCCGTGACGCGATTGATATTTACATAAGCGAATCGAAACTATTTCCCGAATTGTACAATATCAAAGTGGATAAAACCTGGAGTTAGCTGAAGGAGATTACGACTCTCCAGGAAGTTGGGAAGTTGCGCGGATGGTGGATATATACAAAAAGCTAGAACAACTGCGTCATCACTAGGTCGATAACTCACACTTGAAATCCCCTTGACAAAGACCTCCCGCATGCGTCACTGAGCTTCCATATCCCTCGCCATATTCATCTCGTACCAACCATCGCGTTCAACGCCTTTGCCAGCAATTGGGTTCTGAAGTTGCATGTTCGGCAACTCAGATGGCTTGCTCGTACCCGTATTGGCGCTTGATGGTTTTGAAGGGAGGGAAACGAGACTGCGGAGGCTGCGAAGGATTGCCTTAGATGCAGTTTTGGTCATCAACCTCCAGGTAGAGGGCAGAATGACCGCGATCAAGGTAAGGCCGGATTCTAACATAGACCAGTAGACTGATTCCGTGTCCGAGACTATATGAGTATTTGTCAGTGGAGAAACAAGTTTGAGTTTGGCGAGAGGTATATATACCGCGCGGGTCGGCTGTGAGTTTGACAGCTGCAGGATCGTTAGTTGAATATTCTTTCCCTCTTGCTTAAAACTAGAAAGTATACCTTCGTCGGCGTTCGCCAGTTTGTAAAATTTCGCCATTCGGACGCAAGACGCGATGGTGCCACTGATTTTATTACCACCACACATCCACAATCACATGTATCTTCAAGGACACTTACACAACTCCAAGCCCAAATGCCAAACTGATAGCAACCTTGTTTGCCAACGTCGTGTTAAGCTGGTATATCTGCAGTTATTAATCGGCATGAAACTTAAGCAAAGCGTCACAGAATGTTTGCTTACTCGAGGAACAGGGACCAAAATCACCAGAACATCCAGAATAAAATCTGTAATTCCCACGCTCTTAACAAATGGTAACGCCATACCGCAATACTTGACATAAGCTTCTGCACCTTCCCAATTTGCGGCTACGTGAGGTCCTCATTCGAAGAGATCGATGAAAAAGAATATCGCGGTCCATAAGACAAGGACGAGAAGAAATCTAGTAGTAAGGTTGAATGCGTCGATATCTTCACCTATGCAGAACACACGGCGATAGAAGAGAAGAGCACCTGCTTTGATGAGGCCGAGACTGATGGTTTGGATTAGTTGGTATGAGAGAAGGAGCTAACGACAGGTGAGTTCGGTGAGAGGAAAATGTCTCAAGAGTTAACAACCTTATAAAAGAGGATATCATTTGCACGTGTCGATGTGGGTGCTGTTGAGGTATATCCAAGACACTTGAGGCTAACAGCTGTGCATATGTTTAGCATCTTGCGCCTGCAGGCGTGCTCATTCTGTATTACAGGTGATGCATAGGATGGCCATTGTTTCGACGAAGACCTGAGAATAGAAGACATCAGTAATAGCCAAAGTGCCAAGCCAAGAGCATCGATTCAAACCAGACGGCTGACCTTGGGCCAGTCGCCGAGACAAGACAGATACAACAAAGAGAAGGTAGTGAATTTTGTTGAAGCGAACTCACTAAAGCCAGGCCGAGAATCCAGTCATCAATTTTCCAAGGCACTTTATTATCCTTTCGCACCCAGAAACGGAGGAGTACGAAAAAGAACGCGAGTACAAGCATCGTTGAGCTCACGCTCAAGATTCCATGAGCGGAAGTTCGAAGAGACATGGCGAGCAAAGATTGCTCGCAGCGGATCGAGGAGAGAAATTGATCTAGGGTTAATTTTTAAGGTTGATGTCATGAACCAAGAGATTAGAACGTGTAAAAGCTTGGCAATGGAGGCTGAGAAAGAAAAATAGTTGGTTCCGAATATTCTGGTTCTGAGTTCTGGCTCGTAAATCTTCTAGAGTCTAAGTTATTTTCTGGCATCAGGTGCGAGATTAGTAATGTGTGAGCTCCTCGTAGCAGAAAGCCCGTACGTAAAGAAGCAATTGTGTTTGCTGTGAAGAGCACAAAGAAGCCATGAGAGCGTGGTAAAAAGTGGACGCCGATTTACAGACCCCGGATTCTCAATGTAGTAATCATGGGAGTTCGGCGAGTTTCCTTCAAAGATCCGCGTGGCCAGGTCGCTATATATCCAATTAGAGATGACTTGCATGCTGCATCAACGTTTTTTTTTTCATGGAATGTTTCCTGGGGTCAAGATATGCTTGGCGGATACGAGCTATCCACTGCAATAGGTCGTATATGCGCCAATCTAGACGAAGATAATCACCCTCAAGGATGTGCACTTCATTATCCAAAGCGCTGCGCTCTTATTATCCTTCGAGTGGCCTTTTATCGCTGACACCTCCATGATAACGAAGGATCACTATCAATGAAAATCATAGCATCACGACCCTGATTTCTCATCGTCGAACCAATGATATGACAATTACGCTGTCGGCCGCAGTGTATGCTTGTAATTGCTTGAAGGGCGAGGGCATGTTAGGTACCCACGTAAGCGCCAGAATTGGGGCAAATTTCAGCTACCCCGCGCTTCCCAATTCGGACACAACCCCGGAGACAGTTTGGTGTTTCAAAGGATACGATTAATGGAACAAGTCATGGTTGACGATCAATGGAAGCGTAGTTAGAGTTGGCAAGAGCATGGTTATTGCACGGCCATCTCGAGGTGTACTTATGTCTTGCGCCTGAAGTTATCCACCCTAAATTGTTCCTACTGACCCGTCCGAGTCTCGTCTCCAAGCAGCCATTCTATTGTCTGCCCGAAATATACATCTACGAACTGCGATCAGTCTGCAAATAGTCTGATTCCACCATCATTCCAGAATGTATATCCCTAAACTACCTTTCTTCCTCGTCCTCGCCTCATACGCTTCCCTTCTTTTTGCAGCACCCAACTCCAGTATGTATAAGTCATTCGTCTACTTTTTCCTCAATCTGATAGTCTTCAGTGGAGTTTGTCGATGGTATGGAAGCCATCGAACCTGATGCATTAATCTCAAACATGAACGGGGCCGCCTCCTACGATGACTCGAAGGCGAACTTCGTTGAGTAGAGTTTGCAAGCGATAACGGGTATGAATTATCACTTCTTCCAGAGGAAAAAACTTCGAGCTAATATTCAGGGGTTTAGTAAAAAAGGCTGAGGATGGTGTCTGAGGTTCTACGGCGATGGCTCTGCTTATTGTTGTGAGGAGAGGAAAGATTCAAGGCTTGGACATCGAAGCTGTTCGGCTCTTGTGTACTGGAAAATATTGCGAGATGCTCTGTATCGTACATTCTTTCGTCTAAATGGAATCATTCGCCTAGAAGTCAAAGACCAGAGAGACCCAGTGAGAAAGTAAAGCGCGAGCAAGTTGTCATCCTCATATTACGGAACATCACTACCTCTCGCAAAGAGCAGCGAGTCGAAATGGGTGTGAAGCTCCTCCTCAATATCGCTACAAAGACAAGTTATTCGGGTCTGACCTCGCCCAAGAGCTCAACGATGCTCGAATACGAGGATATCTGTATGGAGCCATCCGTGGACAGTTCCATACATATGGCAAGACATTCAAGGAGTCCGTGGTATTTGGAAAAGTTGTATACAATACCATGAGTATGGAAAATATCCAAACAATGGCAGCAACGAAATTCAATGATTTTGGAGTCGAGCCTTCCCGCAAGTTGAAAAAGCCCAATTTCACAGGAGATGGAATTCTTTCGACTGATGGTCCAGCGTGGAAGCGTTCGAGAGAGCTTATCACGCCGACATTTTCCAGAAAGGATATTGCCGATCTGGATTCGCTGGAGGTATATTTTGATAGGATGTTATCTCTTATGCCCAGTGAAAATCAGACTATGGATATGCAGCCCCTTTTGAAAAGACTTGTACGCCGTATTCAGCCTAGCATTTGACGCGATGTCTTATTGACATTTGCCAGTTCCTCGATACGTCCACAGAATTTCTCTTTGCGGAATCCATCCACTCACTTCTGCCGGAAACACAGTATAAGTCGCAAGAATTCCTTGCAGCATTCGAGGAATCCTTGATGGGAATGGGGACGCGTATACGAGCTGGGCCACTCGCCAAGATCAAGTTATACTTTGACAAAACATGGGAGAAAGCATACACAAAGGTCCACCGATACGTAGATCAACATGTCGAAAGAGCGCTCGCGGAAACCAAAAACGACAAATCATCCATCAGCGCAGACGAAACCAATCCCCCACAAAAGTACATCCTCGTACGAGAAATGGCAAGAGAGATCAGAGACAAAGTATCCCTCTGCTACGAGCTAATGGCAGTCTTCTTCCCAGGCCGAGACACTATTCCCGTCCTCCTCGCCAACACCATCTTCCTTCTCGCACGGCACCCTTCAGTCTACAAAAGCCTTCGTGAAACGGCCCTCTCTCACACCTCTCAGCCTGTAACATACGATCTCATAAAATCACTCATCTTCTACAAACACGTCCTCTTCGAAAGTCTCCATCTCCTGCCTCCCGTCGCCTTGGTTCACCGAACCGCCTTACGCGACACCATCCTACCCACGGGTGGCGGAGCCGACGGAAAATCTCTAATCTACGTAGCGAAGGGAGAGACGGTTGTAGCACATCTGCATGCCCTGCATCGAGATAAAGATATCTGGGGAGAGGACGCGGATGAGTTTAATCCTGGACGATGGGAAGGAAGACGGACTACTTGGGAATTTGTGCCGTTTTACGGAGGGGCGAGGATTTGTCCTGCGCAGCAACAGGTTATGATACAGGCGACTTATGTGTTGTTGAGACTGGCGCAGGAGTTTGAGAGCTTTAAGAATAGGGATGAGGAGTTGAGGTATATTGGGTTGACGAGAATGGTTACGGAGAGTAGGAATAGGGTTAAAGTTGCTTTTGTTAAGCCTTAGCTTCTTGGTGACTTGAATGTTAATTTCTATACATAGTACTGCGAACCGATCATTCTTCCAAAATTGCGTCTTTCCCTTTGAACATCGAATGATATTATCCCATACTACCAATCTTTCTCATCCCTCACATACTCACTCACCTCCCCGAACCCCCTCCGCACCCCCCAAATCCTCAACTAACCCCTCCCCCTCCGCCCCGACCATTACAAACACCATCCTCGCCCACGCCTCCTCACTCGCATTCCGCCACGCATGCATCGTCCCCCTCTGCACACAACTATCGCCCCTCCTCAACACCCTCCTCTCCCCCCATCCAGAACCAACTCCACCTCCCCCTCAATCACAATCCCATAATCCAAACTCTTCGTCACATGCATCGGACTCAGACTCCCCGGCGCCATATCCACATATCTCATCACCGTTCCCGTCGAGATGGACAGACCCGGCGGAGAAGCAAGGTCCGATGCGTAGGAGGAGATATCGGGCGGTGTTGAGGAGGAGCGGGAGAGGTGTACGGGGAAGACGCGCGTGGTGTATGCGAGGAAGAATTTTGTGGCGGTGCCGATTGTGGTCCAGACTCCAGGATGTTAGTACTTGCTTTCATAAAAGATTTAAGAACCGAATCTTCGGCAATGGGATGAAACCTGTTCGGGAGCCCAAACATGCCTTGAGTGAAAGGAAGCGAGGAGAAGGGACAGAGAAAGGGCATGGTTACTACTGGGGGTGGGGATAGTGGTTGAGAGGACGGCTTGGCCGGATGGGTTGGTGGTTGTGATGTAGCGGTGGATTTCGGGGAGGCCGTTTTCTAGGGTTGAGGGGGCTGGTTGTGAGGATGCCATTTTGTGTTTTAGGATTTGGGAGAAGAGATCTGTTTGAGGTTGAAAGGTGGGGATATGCCGGGGGTGTTTATCTTCTCTGATGTACGTAAATTGGACATACGGCACTCCGACCTTGCTTTGGTGCAAATCTAGGATTCGGCTTGGATAAAGTAGCTAACTTCTCATCCTGTGCATTGGAGGATCTCTCTTGTATTCAGAAAGAAGTCGTCGTTGTTTCACACCGACGTGGTCGATCGACCTAGAAACTGATGCATGTGGGGCTTGGCTGGCTCCCCTTTTTAGCCGAGATAGCCGAAACGGAATTCTCCCGGGCAGCTCTAAAATGGAAAAGGATTAACGCGACCACCCAAAGAAGTAGAATATATCGCATCCTTTGCTCTACGGAAGTTGCGTTAAAGGTCTGATCTTTCGATGTTCTTAAAAGGACATCTTCGCAATATTAAGTTAGCTCTCAGGGGTCAAGGGGTGTGGGAATTCATTTTCATTGAACAACCCTTTTTGTCCCACTCCAAGATCAGTATCTCATTGCTCTGTGATTATGACTTTTCGGTATGAGCAGCTGCAGAATATTGAGTTATGTTCATCGAACAGCCAATCTATGCCTGAGGAATAACCGGCAACGCAACATAATTCTCCAACCCCTCCCCAAAATGCACATAATTCGTCCCCGCCAACAACTCCCCCGTCCTATCCTTCTCACTCTTATGCTGAAAAACGCCACTTCCCTGCGTATCCCCGGACGAGATCTCAAACACAATCCTGCCTCCCTTCTCCGCAACTACATTCGTAGGCCAGATCTCAACATCCACGCCATAGACTTCTCCTGGCTTTACTTCCTGCACATCGGTCGAGAGGTAGTTGCGTTGCGGGAGGTAGGGACGATGTTTTGCGCTCTGTTCATCGATCTTGCGCATGCTGACCCGCAGCCAGCCTTTGCAGAGCGGGATGGGATCGCCTGCTGTGCCGGTGTAGTGGACTTCTTCGCCTGAAGGAGCGAGGTAGCGCAGGGTGAGGAAGAGGTCGATGTCCTTTGGCGATTTGGAGGATTGATCTTCGGGTGTCATCGAGACGTTCAGATGCGCTACAATGTGACCTGTGATTTCGGTTTCTTGCTCGAATGGAGGCGTTGTGAACTGGATGAGCTCAGGATGATCGAGAGTGCCGAGTGCTTTGTAGGATTTCGTTGATGGCGATTTGCTGCTGTCTGGAGTCGTGGAAAGGGTGCCGTCCGAATGCAAGTGATAGTTCGTGTACTTGGTTCGAGGTATCGGCCATGCTGGCTCTTCTCTTCGTTTATATGTCGCTTCAAACTCGGGGTTGTTGAAGCCAACGTTTCCTTTCCTGAGAACCATCGAGACTGGTGGGACTTTGCCAGGGGTAGCCCATCCCACGGTATCTTTGTCTTTCAAGAAAGCGTCCAGGAATGACATTTGAACTTCCACCTCATCGTGGTAGTAGAATGGGAGATCGTGACGACCAACAATGAATCGGATGTACTTAAACTTCGATCCAGCCCAAGTAAAGCCCTCAACATTTCCGCGAAGATGGAGGAGAATGCCACCCCAGTTCGCCACACTGAGAAGTGGAACCTCAATATCCTCCAATTTGAAATCTTTGGATGAATAATACGCATCGTCTCTGAACTTATTCGCAGCATTATCGTCATTCTGATCTCTTCGATTCGAAGCAAGAACTTCATCAGAGAGATCTCCTTCAAGGGTGTCTTCGCCCCAATTGGCTGCTGCTCGGCCTGGCTTGCCATATTGATTCGTGATCACCTGTCTATTCCACCAAAATCGAATGAACGAGTCGGAAAGAATACCCCCGTGGCGACAACGGTCACGATAGTAATCTGACATGCCTTCCCACGGGATGATAGCTGCAAGGCCCTTGGGTCGACGAGCTGCAACACGCCATTGACTTCCTATGATTTATGAGCTCGAGTCTCAGGCCTCACTTTACGGGGAGACTCACCAGCATAATAACTGATTCCCAAAAGCCCAACTTTCCCAGATGACCAAGGTTGATCAGCAGCCCATTCCACCACATCAAAGAAACATTCGCTTGTGCCCTTTGACATGGTATCAAGCACACCAGGCGATTGTCCCAGACCCCTCTCATCTGCTCTCACTACCACATATCCATGTTTTGTCCAGAAGACCGGATCTGGAGTTTCCCAGGCGCTGTATTTCGACTTGTGTTCTGGGTTCACTTCACTGAATGACTTCTCGTGGAATCTAGGCCCTGTTAACTAGGTCTGGCTTAGTGGAACAGGAAACTCACTTCTCGTAGGGGATATCTTTTCCATATGGGCCGTATGTCACCAATACTGGGAACTTTGTACCTTCGGCGGCAATGGGTCGATATACATTGCATCTGATGGGGAAAGTTCCAGCGCGGGGAATAGAAACATTCTTCTCGAACACGAGTCCATTCTCATCGTCTTTTGTCACCTCAAGCAGGTCTTTGATGGCGTTAGTCGTAGTCATTTTGCCGTCTTCAGAACGCAATAAATATTTGGATTTTGTACAATATTTCAGAGATGCTTTTGATGGTAGAGAGCTCGAAAGTTAGCGTGTCGTCGGTCTTTCGGGGTATGCAGATGCATGGAGGGGCTCAGGTACCCGGCGTTCTCGGGCCCTCATTGCGGATGAGGGGGCGGGGCATTTTTCAGGGCGCATGGGCGGGCTTGTGGTCTTACATGCTGAAACAGCCAACGAGTTGTTTCGAGATAGAACTTTCCATTCACGAAGTAATTGATTGTTGATATTTGCAATTTTGATGAGACTCTCTTAGGAGAAGATGGTTTTTGTACATAAGATGGCGTAGAGTAGATCTGTGCTTTGAGGCTAGCTCGCCGCCAAGCAATGTTTGCCACAGTCGGCTCCTTTCCATCCAACAACTCTTCCTCATCACCATTCTCCTCCTATGGCATATCTGAACAACCCGGGAAAATAAGGCCCAGCAGTCGCTCCCCAAAGTTTCGCAGTACTCTGTTCGAGGTCAACATACACTCTAAGGTTTAGAAGGGGAAGACTCACAGCATTCAACACAACGCCAGTGAACATCAATGTCAAGAAGATCCGCTCGGGCAAAATGCTTCCATTTGGTCTTCCCTCAGCATCTCGATTTCTATCAATCGGCCTATAGTCAGGTACTCGACGATGATCCGTTGGCCAGTTTGGAGGATTGACGACTCTCGGTGTCTCTTGTGTCGACGATGGTTCTGTGCTGCCGTCGTAGCCTGTGAGATGGATCTTGTAGTCGCCTAGCACCTCTTCTATCTGGGAAGCGGTAACGGTGGTGCTCATCTTGAGAGTTGATGAACGATCATGAGTACGTTCAGAGGCTCAAAAGACGTTGCAAGCTTGTAATCAAGTGATTGCAACTTTCAGAGTTCAGCATGGCGTTTGATGTCCACTCGGAGGTGGCAAATCTACCCCGCAAAAGCTGCAGCTCTCCACATTCCGAAATTCTCAGGCCATTCAGGGACAACCCCAGACGAGGCTGACTTGTGCCTCGGGAGCTGCACAGAAAAGATCATTTCGGTGCAGAGCTCTGCTGGTTCCGAGCTGTCAACGTCAGAAACTCTTTTGCGCTTATTTTGTTGCATTTTATTTTTGTTCTGTGCTTCATTTTCTCACCCAACGAGATGGCTTCAGACCTGGAAATCGCAATAGAGACCCTTCGAGGCGCTGTCACAGAATGCAGATTCGAAAATGTACGATACCGGCAAGATCAATTCCATGCACTTCATGGTGCATTGCGAGAGAAGTCAGATGCGATATGTCAAGCAATTGCGAAGGATTCGAGTTGCTCGATAGCGGAGGCAGAGACCGAATTCTTTCTTGCCATGGATGCAGTGCAGAAGTCTTATGACAGCCTCAATTTTGAAAAGGCGTTGGAAGAGGGGTACTATGTGACGAAAGGAAAGAATAATGAGGACCGTCGAGCAGGATTGGGTCTAGTCGCAATTCGTCCCCAGCGACATACTAGATTCTACTCGGTAGTGTCGCCCATTGCTGCAGCTCTGGCAGCTGGAAATTGTATCCTGGTGCAGGTTTGTAGAGTATATGTCCAAGCAGCAGTCATTTACTAAAGATAGGGCAGCTTGATAATTCTTCGCAATCCGTGGATGCTCTTTTCACTGAGATCGTCACACCAGTGATGGACTCAGATACATTCCACATCACTTCCTCCCAGATTGAGGACAAGGACCTTGCAAAATTCGATCTTCTTGTGGATCAGACAACCACCCAGAAAGCATTCGCATCATCATGTCATTCCACGACAGAAACACGTACCATTGCCGTCGTGGACAGAACATCGACCCTCGAAACAGCAGCGAAAGCCATAGCAACAGCTCGCCTCTCACCAAACAACACATCTCCTTACTCTCCAGACTTGGTCATCGTCAACGAGTACATCAAGGATATCTTCAGCTCAGCTTGCCTCCAATACGCAAGCAACCAAGCGGAATCAACCAGTATTCGAAAGATCAGCCAAGAAGAAAAGAAGCTACAGACAACCATCCAAGAAGCCGAAATAAAAGGAACCATCAAAATCCACCGCACACCCGGTACAGACCTCAACATAATCGAGCTCCTTGACTCGTATGCTCTCCTCATCATTTTAATGACTCATTCCAGCTAACTTCTTCAGCACATCTCCCTTAATTAAGACCAAAATCCAAGGCCCCTACATCCTCCTCCTTTCCAGCACCGGCCTCGTCGACACCGTCATCACCCAACGCTCCACCCCCCTCTTCCTAGCAACCTACCTCTTCGCCTCCCCTTCCGCCGCAAAATTCCTCTCCGAACAAATCCCCTCGCACGCTAGCTACATAAACCAAATCCCCCCTCAACTCCTCTGTAACCTCCCCTCCCCTCCATCCATTCCCATCCCTCACTAACAAAACCTCAGTCGGACCCCCGTCCCCAACCTCGCATCCTCACACCCTGCATCCTCGCTACACACCAGCGATGCTCTCTGCTCCACGACCGCAATTTGTCGCGATTTCAGCGGAAATGCCGGATAGTCTGGAGATGAAGAAATTAGCGGCGAAGGAGTTGAAGCCTACGGGCCAGAAGCCGGGTCATGCGGTTGGGTTTTTTGAGCAGGGGATTTTGATTGGGCTTGGGAGTGCGGCGGTGGTTGTTTTGCCGGCTGTTGGATGGGGGGTTTATTGGGTTGGGCGGAGGGGGTTGGGGTTTGTTAGGGGGTTGAGGTAGATTTGCTGGGGGAGAGAATTGTGTGTAGTGGATTTATGGCAATGAACTAAGAATGTTTGGCAATTAAATCTTTAAGATATTGGCTAAAAATAGGAAGCCGATATGTTTAAGTGAAGAATGATCAAGTTGCTGAGTTGTTGTAATATTTGATGTTTCTGACGAAGTAATTGGAGATTCTCCAAGTCTTTTGGGATCTTGAGTGCTATTGTTTAGCTTTTCATAGATTACTTCCCTCCTCACACACTTAGAATATGGCTTCAGAACCTAACAATTTGCCCTGATCAAGCAAGCAATACAAGCAGCAGAAGCTTTCTCACTTTCCTCGATCCTCGTAGTTAATTAGTTACTACCATATCGACCACTAGCCTGCAACAAGTCTGCTTGATTGTTTATCAAATACACTTCTGACGCCGCGCAACCTCGTGACTTATCAGATGACCGTAAAGATAATCCGCTCACTCCCAAGTCCGACCGCAAGATTCGGCAACTGTCGGATAGCTCCAGCACTAGTTGGGATGTTTTATGTTGAATGAGGTGATCGTATAGAAATGGGGCGGCGTCGGGATGGTGGGGGAAGTTTCAACCCCACATCCGAGATTCAAAAAGGAGGGGCAACTCGGACTGATATCTCGGCAACGACATTCAAACATGCAATGCTGAGCTTGAGGCTGATGAGTACGGCAATATCGGGTGCACGCCGCAGGAACTTTCATTTGACAACAACGTTTCGCTTGACAATCGAAAGCTGAACGCATCTCAGCAAAAAGTGGAATAACTTCGTGCGAACTGAAACATCAAGCATTTACTATTTTTGCTCTTTCTGGAAATCAAAGTCATAATTCTCTACTCTTGTTGAGTTGGAGATATTTCCATTATGGCTTCCAGTCCAGTACACTTCTTCTCCCATGGCTCGACCATGATGCTGGGAGAAGAGTCAGACTCAGCAACATACTGGAAAAAATGCGGAGATGAAGCTCTAGCAAACGGCATTGAGCACGTCGTGATGATGGTAACTTCTCCCACTCCCTCTCACTCACTCTTCAACCCACATACTCACATCGTTCAGGGCGCACACTGGGCCACCCTCGGCGACGAAATCGAAGTAGCAGCAAACCCCAACCCAAGCAAAAGCCCAGTAGCATACGTCCACCCCTCCAAATTCGAAAACTACAAACTCAACCCCGACCTCCCCATGGCCACCCGCTGCGTCTCCCTTTTGAAGGCAGCCGGTCTGAAAGCAAAGACGAATACAACCTTCGACTGGATCCACGACACGTACTTAATTCTCATCCGCATGTTCCCCGCCGGCTGTCCGCCCACCACAATCGTATCCATGAACGCCCGCTACGACCCCCACTACCACGTCCGCGTCGGCGCCGCTCTCTCCTCCCTTCGTGCTCCCGCGGAAAAAACCCTCCTCATCGGCACCGGCGGCGCGGTCCATAACCTGTACCGCAACGTATGGAGCCAGATGCTTCTCTACCGCGACAATTTCGCCATGACAGCTCCGCCGGAAGCTGCTCTCATGGATTTTAGACAGGAGTTCGAAGACGCGATGTTGAAGAATAGCGGGCCGGCGCTCAGGAGAGCGGTCACGATGTTGATGAAGATGCCGAATTATCGGGATGCGCATGCGACGGATGATCATTTTATGGCGGCGTGTTTTGTGGCGGGGGCGGCGGGGCGGAAGGAGGATGTGGGGTGTAGGGCGGAGATGGGGGCCGAGGATTGGGAGTTGAGGAATATGTGTAATTCGCAGTTTACGTTGGGGAGTTGGGGTGGGGTTAAGGTTTGAGGTTTAGTGTTGGTTTTTGAGGTGGGTCAAAGAGAGGGGTGTATGCGTACAAAGTTCATTTTTGATACTGCCTGGTTTTATTTGTCTCTATATGCTCTTGTTTTCTAGTGAAAATGATTCCTCCCCCTGGTGGAGGAAGTGAACACGGTTCGTATTGTCTTTGTCTCTACCAACGCATTTCGGATAAGAAACAGCCCCTATGATCCTTAACAGCACTAGTGCAGACACATTATTCACATTTCATTCAACAAAAAAGTCATCATCACACATCAAACCCCACAGTTCACATCTGGCAAGCATTCATTGATGATACCACCAACTAATCAACGTTTCTCTCCCAATCACTATCGCACCGCAAAAGCAAAATCAACCAACGACCACTCAAAGACCACCAAGAAGCCCCATAATCAAATCATCGGGCAGAATTCCAGGAGGAACAGCAGGAGGATCCAAAAGCAGACCCAAAACCACCGTCGGGACCTCGGCAAAAGCTCGCACGGCAGTGATCGTACAGTCGTCATCGAAGTCAAGGTAGACGTTTGCGAAGAAGGTGACGGGGATAGTGATGATACCTCGGACGCCTAGGGTCTGTTTGTTTGTGTTGTCAGTATTCTATCTTTGTTTGAAGTGGATAGAGGGAGGGGTGGATACGTACGACGTTTGTTTGGATATCAGTTGTACCGTTGGCGGGGAAGTCGATGTAGTTGCCGGTGACGGTGGAGAAGAGTTGGCGAGTAGCAACGGCGAATACGACGGTGGTGTTTCCATCGATAGCAACTGGGACAGCGGGAGCTCCGTTGGCGGCGCTGGGAGGAGAGCGTCAATTTTGGTTCAGGATAAAGGAAGGGAAGGAGGAGGCAAACATAGAGGTTTGACAATCAGCGTTGAATGGGATGGCTTCGAAAGCTGCAGCTGAAGCACCAAGTGGGGACAGGTTGTAGGCGTAGGGGACTTGGGATGCGTAGCCAATGCGGTCAGCGCTAGTGCATTGAGCAGCGACGAATCCGTTCAGGACCGTGAGGAGGGTGGTGACGATCATTGAGAGCATCATCTTGACGATTCTTGTATTTGGGTTTTGATTACGATGAAGTCTTGGACGAGTCTGGAGAAGTCTTGGTGTTTGAGAAGGAAGTTGCTTGTTTTCTGCGAGATCGTTTAGTGGAGGAAGGGTTTTGAAGGCGCTTGCGAAGTCGGTAGACCTACGTAGGTAGATACGGGAGATCATCGGCAATACCTTGGGGGATGCTAATTGACGAGGCTATATTGTGTATTGGCTTACAACAAAGTAATGGTCCGCTTTCGGCCAAGCGTCCGCAGCCTTTCGTGAGGGTTCCCTTTCTCATCCATGCTTCAACTTTTACATATGACGGCTTGAAGCGAGGTTGAGTTTATACACCCCAAGAAACTAAATCACAGATCTTTACCAAATCTACAAAATCAAACTAAAGTTGTCACGGCTCGGTCCTCGAAGCAATGGGAGGAGCCGTAACAGGTTTCAACTCGTTGAATTTTCACAGCTCTTGTGGTACTTGACATACTGCATCTCGTAGTTGCACGGCTTTCCTGAACCTCGCCTGAGCCTCTTGATCAATCCAACAGCATCTGATTATCTAATGATTGGATTTTGAAGATATGGACTAACTACCTATTGGAGTAAACTTTGATTTAAGGCTTGAAATAGAAGAAAAGAAAACAGGCATGAGATGAGATCCGATCGTTAAGTAAGGGAGAAGGTAACGAAACATTGAAGCTTCCAATCTCAAAACAGTATCAAGTGTTTTACTCGCTAGCATGCAGCAAAATATCCTTGGTTGCTCAACTATGGACGCAGTTGGACGTTTTGATATTGCACCGAAGAGGTAGGACCAAAGTAGAACGCACAAAGCTAGAATAGACAGGCAGTAAACTTCTGAAAGTCAAAAACATATTGCGGAGTAGTAGCATTAGACCAGAGGATTTGACTACCACTGATATGTAAAGCTACGAATCTCGAAGTAGATAAATCGGCTCCAAATTTCAAATAAAGGTTCCACTTGCAAGTCTTGCACTTGCACCCAATGTCTGACTTTCCTTTGCGACTTTGCTCGAAACCAGAATTGCAAATATTTTCCCACATTGACTAGAAGAAACTACACACTCGCAGAGTACCTGAGAACCTCTTCTAGATTCATTGGGAGACACTTATTACTAACTCGCAAATTTCGGAGCCCTTCTTGCCTTAGTCAATACTTCCACACCATATGCCAATTCCAACAATTTCTGTTCCGAATACGGCATTCCAAGAAGCTCCAACCCCACAGGGAGGCCTGGCTCCGTGAAGCCCACAGGAACCGAGATAGCAGGCTGTCTCAACTGGCTGCCAATGGTAGTGTTGGTTAGAAACGGATTCTCCTTGAATCGCGGGCCAAGAACATCTTTGATTGTCGGCGCTGGAATCTGAACACTTGGATACGCAATAGCGTCGAGGTTATGTTCAGTCATGATTCCAATGACAATACGCTGGAACTCGTCACGTTCGTCGAGTCTTGCTGCGTAGTGTGCGTCTTCATATGGATGCTTGGGACCGGTGCCAATGCGATCAAATAGTGGGAGCGCTTGGTGGAATTGTTTCGACTTGTGGATACTTTCGACTGTGACATTTTTGATGATTGGATGTGCTGAGAGGAAGTTGTCGATATCGTATCGTGATCTGGAGAAGTATGTCGAGGAGAAGTTGAGGTAGTAGTCCAGGTTCGGTATATCCACATCGATCAAAGTGGTTCCAGCTGTGAACTTAGACAATGTGTCTCTAATAATTTGGTTGACTGGCGCACATTCTTCGCCTTCGCCAAATACAGCATTGAGAACTCCAATACGAGCTCTCGATAGAACATACTTGGACAGATTAGAAGCATAGCTTCCTCCTCTCGGGGGCCCAGCGATGGCGGCAGCAGCTGTGTATGTATCTTTCGAATCGTACCCAACCAGAACGTCAAGCATCAAAGCTGCATCTTTGACAGTTCTTGTCATGGGACCAGGTGTATCCTGTGTTTTAACTAGTGGAGACAATCCGAATCTTGACACCAGGCCAACTGTTGGACGAAGTCCGACGAGATTGCAGAAGGATGCCGGAACTCTGATCGATCCTCCAGTATCTTCGCCCACACCAATCAAGCCATAGTTTGCAGCGATTGCAGCACCTGTGCCTGCACTTGAACCACCGGTCTCCCGAGTGGTATCATAAGGATTTAAAGTCTCCCCACTGACTGAAGATGCTGAGTTGAATGATGCTGCAAAGTCTGCGGGTAATGAGATACTAGTCACAGGATGAATGTACTCGACGCACCTGGCATGGTGCTTTTAGCCAGGATAACAGCTCCAGCATCTCTCAACTTTCGAACAAGAGTTGCATCTTGGGATGGAATATGCTTGCAACAAATGTTACCATAAGTCGTCTCGACTCCTTTCGTATCGCATTGATCTTTCACGATGACCGGAACTCCATGTAGGGATCCGATAAATTTGCCATGTTCCTTGAAATGTGTGTCAATAAAGTCTGCTTCTTCGAGCGCAAAAGGAGATATTGTAGTGATAGCGTTCAGCTTTGGACCAGCTTGATCGAGAGTTTTGATGCGTTCGATGTATGCTTCAACGAGTTGTCTGCAGGTATGCGATCCTTGTTTATAAGCGGAATGCACTTGATCTATAGTTAGCTCGTCAATTGATATCATCTTGTGTGGTAGTAGTTGAATTTGGTAAGTACGGATAAGAGATAGTCAAACAAAGATGGGGGCTCTTTGATATTTGAAGAACGACAAGTGGACCGTTGCGAGATACTGACATTCTGAAACTTACACCTGAATGCTCACATATACTCAGGCTTCGGCTGAGGCCAAGAAGCTTTGTCATGCTAAAAGTTGGCTAAGCCTTTTTTGAGCGAGTCTTTCGCGCGCTTTTGCGCACGAGTTTTATAAAGTTAAATAAGCTAAATTTTGGCAAGTTGAGCATGAAAAGCTCAACAACTAAGCTCTGCTGGCGCAATGGTAGCGCGCAAGACTTCTAATCTTGAGGCTGTGGGTTCGAGTCCCACGCAGAGTGGCACGTGATTGGGGCTCGCAAGCTCCATGATACACTTTTTTTATCTTTCTTGTATGTTTGCATTGTGTATTGTTGCATTTTGCTTCAAGATTGATCATTTTTGCAGAGTTTTCGAAGGCCCGCTCTCAGCCGGAGAAAAAAGTTGCCGTTTTTGACACGCGAGAACATCAAAATCCAATGTTTTAAATATTTTTAATTTCAACAATACACGGTTAGATTCTTATATAAAGCGTGAAAGAGATGTAGAGAAATAGTTATAAAGTACTCTAATAATTTTAAATTAAAAGTTTTATCAATTATATATCAATAAATATGTGATTCAATCGGAACTGCGCACTGTGTCAAAAACGGCAACCTTTTTCTCCGGCTGAGAAGCCTGCTAACCCTGACAGCTCGCTTCCGTTTAGCCGAGAGGTCACATGCTGATAAGATCATCAAAATTTCGCACGCCCGGGATGCATGTCCCAAACCCAAATCGTAATTCCTAATCTCCTAAGTATGTATTGAAGCTTAGTTGTTATTATTGGAAATGAAGTCGCTTAGGAGAAAGCTTGAAAGCGTTGCGTTGAAGCTAGTCCTGTGATACTTTCAAAGTACGACCAAACGAAGCCGCGAAAACGTTATCCGAGAACTTCAGATCTTGCTGCAACTAACAACTTTGACAACCTCTTAGATACATAACAGTATAACAAGTTGAGGCATCTTTATAGTGCACCAATCTGCAGAGTTCACCAAGTCGAACGCATCCATAGCCCCTATGCACACTCTACTCATAACGCAAATGTCAAAATGAAGTGACCACCACCTAGGCCACAGGACACCAAAATCGTAGGTTCTCGCTATGAACTTGCTCGATAATTACAACTACTGTATACATTAACGTTTGATATGAGTTCTAGATAGCACTACGAAAGTAGAGGATCCTATAGCTGGATAAAACTGGAAAGCAGCACCCTAGACTTGCTTAAGACGCTGACAGAAGGCCTCTGCCTGACTTTAGGCTGCCAGCCTTGGGATCTCTTACTCGTTAGGCGAGTCGTATCGGTACCCATATCTTGACGCGCCTACTTGTTGTATCTACAGCGAGAATTATGTGCTAGCACCTTTCCTTAAGAAGTTTTCTCGAAGAGAATTCGACACCTTGTCAAGGCGCACTGCTTTAGGTATCCAGTATAATCTTTTAAACTAGGCTCTATACGAAGACTTCTTGGCAAGAACCTCGATCTGGTGTCCTGTGGCCTAGGTGATGGTCACTTCCTTTTGACATTTGCGTTATGAGTAGAGTGTGCGTAGGGGCTATGGGATGCGTGCAAGCCTAACTCAGGTTCAACGCGGGTCATGTTGGCTTTTCGTCGTAGGCACAACTTATTCATCGCTGGCCAACAGGACGTCTCCTTTTTAAGCCTTGAAATATCCTCACACAGTACGCCTTCCAGTTTCTCTGACTTGGAAGATCCTTTCAATGGGAGAAAGTTAAAAATCTAAGAAGTGATTAGACAAACTAGATTTATTTGAACATTGGATAAGTATAGTGTACAGACATGGAGGCACGCTATTTCAACTTGTAAAGAGTGCATAGGCAGAACGTATTAATATTGAAAGTCCGTCACTGACTCGATACTTTACAGCGGCATAAGTTCTCTCCTCTCCAACTTAAAGCAGAACAATCGAGTGGCATGAGACTAATATATGATCGGGGGTACACTGTACCATTACTTTTCCGTCCAAATGAACGCAGTACCTCGATCATGCATGTGAGGCTTCCCGAAATTCTTCCTTGTGTGGATGCAAAACTCACCAGTTAGAAGGTATGTACAGCGTCTCAACAAAAACACCGTGACGAACGCTATTTCTCCACACACACACACACGCTTGCTTCATTTCGGTATAGCCAAGTATTCGGCATCAGATTTATTGCCGCACGCCTCTCGACTCTGTCCAAGGTGTTTCGAATTCTAGATTTTAGTAGCGCGACTCGAGAGACACATTTTGTGAAATTCTAGGGTTAACAGCATAGGTATTAATGAACATTAATAAGTCTTTGCAATGCGCTCATTAGAAACATGGCTGATGAGAGGATAGTAATCATGATATTCACTTGCAAAAGCATCATCGAAATGTTATTCTCTTGGGTACAAAATGTTGAAAAGTCGCCCGTCCACTTCGTCCACTTCTAGTTCCAATTTGCACCCCTCAACGCGCGTGCCTATTCAACATAACTTTAATGCTTCACCAATCAAGGCCCTGTGTCTCACCAGGTCTGTCAATGTGCCCAGCCACTTACAGCCACATACTATCTTTCGTCTCCACAAATCTGGTCCCGGTTGTCTGTCCCGGGTTGTGGGGTTTCGGCCGATGCCCCATGGGGACTCTGTTCCAGAGTGGACGGAGGGAACATAAAAATGACCGACGATGCCCAGAGTCATTCGACATTTGCATTGTGGTCTGTCTTCTCATACGATTCAATATACTTTCACAAATTGACGAAGTTGCATATACAAGACAAGCGATTGAAAAGGGGCAAACAGATGGCTTTCGGCACTGCGACGGCTGGGGACCCGAAGGTATGGAACCCCTTTAAACCCGAGAAAGAGACTAACAGCAGATATTCATAGTGGTGGCCAGCATGGATCCGATTTACAGTTCTAGCAAATCTTTGCTGGTTCGTTTTCATGGGCAATTGTTACTCTGTAAGTTGCCTTCGTTGACGGCACTTCTCATGACCTGACGATGCTAGTCTGGAATCACGACTGGCTTCGAAGACATGGCCGAAGAATTTCGAGTTGGATTTGGACCTCTCACGAACATCATCTCCTGGTCTGTGTTCGCACTGGGTGTCTCGAACCTCTTTTGGATGCCTCTGGCAATGTGCATTGGGAAACGACCAGTCATCCTCATCTCTATGGTGATCTTCCTGGCAGGGCTTATCTGGAGCGTCTACGCACCTACTCTCAATAGTCTTCTTGGCGCTCGTATTCTTGCGAGTTTCGGGGCCGGAAGTGTTGAGTCTCTTGGTCCCAGCATAATCGCAGATTTGTTCCTCGAACGATACTTCGCCACGGCCATGGCGCTGTTTGCTTTGTTCCTTTCGGGAGGGTCTCAAATTGGTCCTGTCATCGCAGGATACCTCATTGCTGATAAGGGATGGAGATGGTTCTTCAAGCTCTGTGCAATCTTGAATGGAGCCAACCTCTTTTGCTGCCTCTTTTTTCTGCCAGAAACATCATACCGTCGACCTTATGTTTACGGCGGTGAAACAGCAGCCGAAGCCGACAAGGAGGCTACGCAAATGATCGAGCATAAACATGATAAAAGAATGGGAGATGACCTCGCCACAATCCCAACGGGCACTGCCCCTGGCGTTCCCTACGCAGGTACTTATTGGAAAGACCTCGTCGCATTTCGCCATCGTGGTCAAGAAGAAACTGGATTGAGAGCATTCCCCAAACAATTGACTCTGCCGTGGCGATTCCTCTTGGTGCCAGGTGCACTCTATGCCGCCATCTCATATGGCGTTATTCTCGCAGGGTAAATATCCTACACTCTATTGCTGATTCCATGCACTAACAGACTCCAGAATCGTCATCATCTCCTCCCAAATGCCTCAACTCTTTGCCCCTCCACCATACCTCTTTGACAGCAAAGCAATTGGTCTCTTTACCCTCTCATCTTTCATCGGCGTCATTGTCGCGTACCCTCTCGCCGGTCCATTGACCGATCTTCTTTCTCGAACCCTCACAAGAGCCAACAACAATATCCACAAACCCGAACACAGAATCCCAGCCCTCATCCTTCCGTTTCTCCTTTGTCCATGGGGCCTCATCCTCTACTCCTATACGGTTGCAGATTCAAAGCCTTATTACGCCGCAGCAGTGGGCTTTGCTGTACAAGCAGCTGGTCTATGCTTTGTGCCTAGCGTGGTGTTGAGTTATGTAGTCGATGCTTATCCTGCTGAAGGTGGTGAAGCATTGGTGTTGATCAATGCGGGGAAGAACCTAGTTGCCTTTGGGATTACTAAGAGTAATGCGCAGTGGCTTGCCAAAGAGGGATTGAAGAAGATGTATGGGGAGATGGCGGCGATACAATGGGCTGTTCTCCTCTTGGGGTTGCCTTTGTACTTTGCTGGTCCGTGGTTGAGGAGAAGCACTCAGAAGTTTGTTTGAGGTGCATAGACTATTGGAGTTAGCGCCTTTGATCAACAATTGTTATCTATGATGTTGATGTTTGTATAGTAAGAATAAAGCATGAGCAAATTTCGAGCAGTCCTTAGAGACAAGGAAATAGCTGGGCCCTGATACTATCTCTTGGCCCTCTCGACTTTTTTCGAATCCCTTCTTTTAGAAATTCATTCGGGTATTGATTGTTACTACGATAATGAGTGATTTCCGACCGATATATAAGTCCGGGAGAAAGATTAAATGAAGCAACGAGTTTACGCGACGCTCGATCTTTCCAGCAGCTTGTGTATGCATGCTTTGGTCCTGTCTATTCCTGAGCGCAAGTTGATCTTTTTTGGCACCCTTTGAACAATATTTTTCATCAGTCTACTTATTCAGCTCACAGGCCTTCTCGGAATTGGGATTCTCTGCTAACGATAATTCGAAGCGCCCGCCACGATGTCTTCAAAGAAGAAAGTCAACAAAAACGTCACTCCGAAGAAGTCGACCAGGTCAACACCAAAGAGAAAAGCGAAGGAAGTATCGGTCGCTGCGCAAGATGAGCAAGCCGATCCAGCTCCTGCGAGCTCGACTCAAGCTCTGAATGATCTCGATGGCGAAGAAATAGATGGGGTAGAGTTTCATGATGCAGAAGAGGAAATTGCCGAGCCTTCGAATCAACCGAACCAACACCCAGTTCCTCTTATTCCTTCCCGTTCAATCATCGAACTGAAGAAAGAAGAACACATTTCCATCGGCGCAAGGTATTTAGATTTGACACTACCTACTGATCTCTGATTTAGCAAGACTAACCTATCAAAGGGTCGCAATGAGCAGCCCTTCCGTCACGATCTTGGTCAACGACAGAAATAAGATCCATGAATTCAAAGTCCATGTAGATCTTCTCACGCTATACTCTGGATTATTTAGGATTCGGAAAGGAGTGCCTTCACCGTGAATGATTACATTTGGAAGACCAGAGTCACATCTCCACACTTTGCCCACTTTTTCGGCTGGTTGTACACTGGAACTGTTCTGGATACCGTGTGCTTCGATTCAGAGACTTTGGATCAAGAGCTTTGGGACCTTGGCGATTTTCTTGAGGCACCAGGCTTCCAGAATTACGTCATGGATGAGACCAGAGCAGCGTACCGAGACGGCGAGGAGCAAAAATATTACATGTCCACTCGCGCGATTAGGTCCATCTACACAATGGCTAGTGTGGGCCCTCAATTTCGATTGTTGGCGTGTGACATTATGAATTGTCTCGACGTCGTCCATTCGCAGAATTATGGAAGTTCAAAATCTTGGGCAAACCTCATCAAGGGCTGTCCAGCTTTGAAGAAGAATCTGGCTGATAGAGAGCATATGGATTGGGGGGTCACGAGACCATGGGACGATGAATATCGGGTGAACTATATGGTAGCAGAAAAGCCATTGGGTGAGGCTTGGGAAGTTGAGATTCTGGGGCGAGGTCTACGGGCCGAAGTTGAGCAACGAGCTAAGAATGAGGAGGTTTCAGGAATGGTTGAGTTGGAGCATCTTAACAGAGATAATCAGAAGAGCAAACGTGGTGCAAAGTCTTAGCTTAGGCGAGGCTCTGGAGACTGTTCAAGGAGCGTATGTTGAGAGTAAGATAAAGGAAAGGAGACGGCATTGATCGCAGTAAGCATAGGTAGCTTAGAAGAAGCTGGTACAGGCCATGACGAATGCAAAAGTAGAGTCACAAAACTTGCAAAGAACATTGAAAGTCCTTGTGCTTATCTATTTTGACCAAATTCTCATCGGTTTGAGGCTTTATTCCTTTGCGGTCGATCCGCATTTCCTCAAAGAATTGGACACTGTTGAACGCTAGTACAAGCTTGATTCTTCCTGCTGATTCTCTCTCTGTGTGCTTTGACCTTTCGCATGTTAAAGCCTGATTTGACATTTGGCATCTTTGATCAATAAGATGCATCGGCCTATTTAATTCAGCTCATACCTTCCTGGAGTAGAAATTTTCTCCCGAAGATAATTCGAATCGTGGATCACGATGCCTCCAAAAAGAACTTCTAGCAGCAAGAGGGATCGGCAAAAATTGGCCACGGCAGCACAAAAGTTAATGACGCTGCCATCTGCCAGTGAGCCGGATGAGGAGGAAAGTGTGGTGGCTAACAACTTGACACAAGCACTTACTGGCGAAAGTGAAGACGAAGAGATTATTGAGGAGGAGCGGTATCTCAGTGCAACATCGACTCTTTCCAAGCAACCCAATCCACCAACTTCCTCGGCTGCTTCGAAGGCTTTCAAATGTGAATGTCAACAAGGGCATACAGACGGCATCGAATGCATCATTCACAACAATCGCAAGGTTCACGCTGGGATCAGCGCAAGGTGAGAGTTGCTCCATTAGATAGGCTATGAGAAGTAACATCAATTAATCTATGTTTAGGGTCCTTATGAGAAGCAATATGGTTTACATCAACAACAAGTTCTACGTCCACGCCGATTTGCTCTCGCTTCACTCGGAACGCTTTCGACGAGAGTGGGGCCAGACAACCTTCGAAGAGAAGGAAAAACGTAAAGGGTCTATGCTCTGGGCCCTGAAGGATAAAGATCCACTGATAGCTCACTTCTCGGGATGGTTGTACAGCGGTGGACTCCTTGCTACCGCTTGCTTCGAGACTAATGAGCTTCAAGAAGAGTTGTGGAATTTTGGGGCCCGACTCGAGGCTCCAGAACCACATGATGGACATTGCTAGAACTGCATATCGAACAGGTAGATTTGAGAACGACGGCTTCAACAAGCACTGGATGGTTCCAAAAAGTCTCAGATCCATCTACAAGGTTGCAACTCAAGGCTCACCATTTCGAAAACTTGCTTCCGATATCATGAGTTCCCTTGATGTCCTGAATTCTGAAAAATACGGGCCTCAGGAGGATTGGGAAAGCCTCTGCGAAGATCTTCCTGAGCTGGAGGCTGATGTGAAGGCTGCTGATGTTGAGAAAAACAAAGGGAAGTGGGCTGGCAGAGGAGGTCGTCCTTGGAATAATCAATACAGGAAGGAGTACATGTTGGAAGAAGTTCCTATGGAGGAAGTCTGGGAGAACCAAATTTTGCAACAAAGAAACCTGGGAGATCTTGAGCGGATGAGCAAAGAAAAGGACGTTCAAGCGATGATTGAGTTGGAGCACGTCAAGGGAAGTCAGCAGTCGTCAGAGGCTAAAGAAGATGACTAGCTTAAGTTCGAAATGAGCAAGAAAGATAGCATTTAGTCTTACTCAGACCAGGTGTTTCGAATGGACTGGAAAAGGGGAGTGGGTAGAATCTCTGTAATTTAGCCAAAGAATTACAGGCAATAGATTGACGCATCGTTCAACTGTTCTCTGATAACTTAATCCCCATCACTTTGGAGTTTCAACTCCTGGAGCCGACTGCTGACCCGCCTCGCCGCCCCTTTATGTCTTCGGCTAATTTCTTGGCACCTCCTTATTACACCGCCACTCCTTTTACTTCTACTTCACCCTCTGGTCACTAGCGCAAGGGATGATTTCCTGCCCGTTATTGGGCTACTTTCAGTAAGTACAATCACCCTCCTATGTACTGTTCCCGTCAATTGAATCGAGGATAAAAGAACACGATCAACCTTCAAGCGGGACTTGTTATCGTTGATATCATTATTCCATTGAACACCCGGTACCCAACGCTCCTGATCTAGCATACATTCGTCTAAGCATTACAGAAATCTCTATACATCCAAGTAGCTATAACCACCCTGTCAAATCTCATCATTCTTAACAGTAACCTCCACAGTTTTCTGTATCGCACCCTTCAACCCCTCATTCCCACTCCCGACTCCATCACTCTGCGCCCAGCTCACAGTCTCACTCCCATCAGGTCTCATCTCCATCCCCTGCATCCCTTTCATCTCAATGATATGCTCCTCGCTCTCCGTCCTCTCCAGCGCCCCACTCCCATTCACCGTATCCAGATTATTATACTTATCCCTCCTCGACTGCCCTCCCGTCTTCGACTGCAAATTCGACAGATGACTCGGCCCCGCATACGGCAGCCGACCCGAAGTATCGCTCTCCGTGGACCGAAGGACGCGGAACGTTTGTCGGGCAAGCGACCACACGTAGGGGAGGTTGGTGGTGTACATGGCGATGGAGGCTTCGCGGAGGTACCAGAATTGGTAGGAGTCGTCCCAGATGTCCTTGAAGGTGAAATATTTGGATGTGCATGCACAAATGACCTTTTTTGTTAGTTTTCTGGGATGGGGAGGGGAGAGGTGCAACGTACTACGACGAGACCCATGGAGAAGATGAAGAGGAGAGGGAGTTTGGTTTTCCAGGGCATGCGGATGCGGAAGAGCATGGGGAGGATGACGCAGATCATTGTGAGATCGGAGGAGACGTTGAAAACGGCTTGGGTCACTTCGTAGCGGAAGTAGCTTGCGCACTGTGTTGAGGTTAAGAGTCAGTAGGCTCTTTCAAGAAGGTAAAAAGCGACGTTCAAGACAATGTTACAAGGACTCTGTGGTAAATTGATAAAACAAAAGGTTAAACGTACCTCTTCTTGCGGCGGTGGCAACGTCCAGTATCCAGTGAAAGGATGGCAGTTGAAGAAAAGAACCAGCACAGTGGCCAACCATCCTAAGAATGTATACCCGGCAGACAACTTCATCCACTTTTGTTGTGATAAGTTTGATCTGAAGCACCAAGACGTTAATCTGCTGTTGGTTTTTCTCTATCACGGACAAATACACTTACGTGAGCTGGAAGTAAATTATAAGCATGCAAGCTTTAAGAGTATACATTGTATTCAACATGCACTGAAGCAAAATGTCAGTCGCAATAAATCTTCGAGGCTTCAAAGATTTTGCTGCTTACCATTTCTGATGCAAATTCAATCTTGGATCCTTTCACTCGCGCGGCAATATCTGCAGCGGTGAAAGTCTCATATTGTCCAGGAAGGTAGAGACTGCTACCTCCACCTGTGATGATTGCGATGTTTGTCACACACATGGTGGTATACCATGCCTAAGGACTCGACTCGTTAGCTACTTGGTGCATTTTTGACTGTGGAGAATTATTTCTGATACTTACAACGGCAAGCACCATAAGGTAGTCTTCGATCTGCCATTTGAATCCAAGTCGAACGTATCGAGCATATCTATTACAGGTCAGTCAGCTCTAGAAGTGGTTCTGTCGAGAAGAAGACATTTTTATTTGAGAAAAACTTACATTCTCGTCAAGAAAAGTGCTATAGCGATACTGTACATAATCCATGTTTGCGCAATCAGGTCTTGAGGCGAACCTCCACCGTCGTTGTAACCCATAATAATTGATAGGTGAAGATGAGCAAAAGATCGTGGCAAGAATTCCTTCTTCGAGAAAGACAACTGTAGATCCGGTTGCTTACCGCAAGGCGAACCTCCTGTCTGACTTGAGGGAGTGGAGATGGCCCAGGACCCTCTTATGAACCTGAGAGGTGTTGCATGAGAAGGATGTGGGTATCATCACCTGGGATGTTTTATCCCCAGTTTCACCTCACTTCACGGTATATAAAAACTGTGCCTCCCCATATCAAGTTTCTCTGTTTCTCGACTCCTTTCTAATGCAGGTAAACTCTTATCTCTATGCTTGCAGGATCATCATCCATTGCAATTACGAGCGGTCCGCTATATCCCGTGTACGGAAGCTTTTTAACCCGTCTAAGCTAGCTCTAAAGTTTGCATGCGGGTTGATGGTGGCAGGAAATGGCGTGTTCGAACCTTTTACTTTGATCAAGGGTTGCAGGATTGCGACCCTTTCCCTTGTCTTGGGATTTCTCCCACCAGGAACAATTAATCCTCATCCGATCATAGTCGTTCGCAATTGGATGAGCCTGGTCGTCCCTTCTTCAGGATGTGATTCCGTTGAGGCATATACATGGTCTGTCCCTGCATTAGATACACCCTCGCCCCTAGTCCACATTGCCGTGTACTCCGTATGCCAACCGGGAGGCTATCCGATACACACGTTGCTTCCGTTCCACCCCCACGGAGAGAAAAGGAATAAGTGAACCGCGACTGCGGGACAGATGCCAGGTAGGTTACACAGACCTTCCAAAGTAGCACTAGAACGCGCTGGGGTAACCTCGTAGTGGGGATTTTGTTACCGCAATCATTGGTTCGAGTAAAAGCTTGACAGGACCAGCCACTGGACGCTTAAGAAAGCTTGTGCAAGACAAGACACTTCCAAGACATTTCCGCCTCGCTTGCGAACCGGTCCGCACCAACAATGCAAGGAGCTCTCTCCGGTCAACGAGTGCGCAATTGCAAATCAACCGCTCGTAACGCAAGTTGCGATCGACATGAAAGCAGTTCGGCTTTCCATTCTGCGATTAATCGAACTGTTGGTATGAATTCCTAGCTCAATTAATATATGAGTATGAATGGCGTGAAGTTAAATATAAATCAAATGTTTGAGATGTAATGTTGCTTGAAGTTGCGTGCGCGCAAGCGGGATCATCTTCTTTAGGCAGGTCGATTGTACATCGTTCCACTACTAACATTTGACACGCAAGCCGGATGAACGCTCGATTCGTCAATCAATAAACTTCTGAAGGATTCGTACCCCACTTGTCCCTTATGCAGGAGGCCGAAACTCTCTTAGCGAGTCCAGCCGAATGCGCCCGTCGACCTCACCCTGTTCTCCTACCTGCCCTTCGATTCTTCTACCGGATCGACATCAAACCTTTCTTTTTCGTCTCCTTCGTTATCAAACCCTCCCTCTTTCACGCAGATATCAACTCTTGGTCCTTTTCTCTCCGCACGCTCCTTTCAACCTGCATTGGCATCGCAGACATGGCCGATTCCCTGGGTGACGAAGAGAAGGGTGTGAAACGTGAGGTTATCGCAACCCAGCCCACAACTGCCGATGAATCGCTCTCCTTGGACGACAATGAGAAACGTGCATCGCCATCCCCAACCCCCGCTGCATCTGGCGGATTCTTCGAGCGCTTGAACGAGAAGATCCTCTCGATCAAGTTCTTGGAGCAGAGAGGTATCGAGAGAGTGCCTGAAGATGAACGCCATGAGATCACGGGTTCCAAGTATATGCAGATGCTGCTCCTTTGGTTCAGTACCAATATCACCGCGAATAATATTGCGGTGGGCATGCTGGGTCCCTTGAGTTATGATCTTGGATTCGTGGACTCGGCGCTTTGCTGCGCATTTGGTACTTTGATTGGGTCTGCTGGCGCGGCCTATATGAGCACATTTGGTCCACAGAGTGGTAATCGTACTATGGTAAATATATTCATGGCCTTTTAAACTGTCTAAACATGTGACTTATTGTTGTATAGGTCATTGCCAGGTACTTCATGGGATACTACCCTAGCAAGATTGCATGTCTTCTCAACATCGTGATCATGCTTGGCTATGGCATGATTGATTGTTTGATCGGAGGTCAAATCTTGTCCGCTGTATCTGGAGGAAACATCACCGTCGTCGCTGGAATTATCATTGTGGCTGCTATTTCTTGGGTGGTTGTCGTATTCGGAATGTCAATCTTCCAGATCTATGAGAGGTAAGTTCACCTTCTGTCAACTTAAACACTTCCTAATACCACATCCAGATGGGCTTGGGCACCTCAACTCGTAGCTGTCTTTGTCTTGGTCGGAAGCGCCGGTCCCACATTCGATACCTCAATAACCTCGTCCGGCAACCATGAGACTATCAATGGCAACCGCCTCTCCTTCTTGTCCTTGTGTCTCTCTTCCGCGGTAGCCTGGGCACCTGCAGCCGCAGATTACTACGTCTACTACCCACCCACTACCCAAAAATGGAAGACCTTCACCATGACCATCTGTGGTCTCACCCTCTCTCTCGCATTTGCGAATCTCCTAGGTGTCGGCTTGGCATCCGGAACCTTTTCCAACACCGACTGGCTCAACGCATACGATACTTCATCTGGAGCCCTCATTCTAGCCGGCTACTCCGGTCTTGGTGGCTTTGGTAAATTCCTAGGCGTCATTGTAGCCCTTGGATTGATTGCCAATAACATCCCCGGAACGTATTCTGCTACTCTCGGATTCCAGATCATGGGACGACAATTGGCTAAGCTGCCTCGGTGGTTCTTGGCTTGTGTCTGTGTGCTCATATACACGGCTTGCGCACTCGGAGGACGAAACCATCTTTTCGATATCTTCGAGAATTTCTTGGCGTTGATGGGATACTGGGTTACCATCTATCTTACTATTGCATTGGAGGAGCATTTGATCTTCAGAAGAAAGAGTGGATTTGATTGGACGGCTTGGAAGGATCGAAGTGCATTACCGATTGGCATCGCTGCGTTGGCGGCATTCTTGATTGGATGGGCCGGCAGCATTATTAGTATGTATCAAATTTGGTATGTTGGGCCGATTGCGAAGATGGTGGGCGAGTATGGAACTGATTTGGGCATCTGGGTTGGTGTTTCGTGGGCGATGATTACTTTTCCACCTTTGAGATGGCTGGAGTTGAAGAAATTTGGTCGTTGATTTGGTGGGTCGGACTTCTTGGTGATAACTATCTCAAGCCTTCAATCTGTTGTTGCTTAGGGACCAAAAGAAAACTGTATATAGGGGTGTTTTAATAGCTTCTAGAATGGATTATGGAACAAAAATATGGATCCGACAGCTTTCGCTAATTGAAAAGTAAGTGTTCCAATCAGAGACCAAAATTACAACAACTTCAAACTCATTGGCCTAAACTATACTTCATACATCCGCTAACAGCCAGTAAGCCTTTGCCACCGTACCACAATGAATCGCAGCAAATCAAACCCGCCTCTAAGGTCTTGGCAGCCAGAAATTGTGCAACAACTAATCCCCCAATTGTGGATCCGGCACTTACCTGCCGCCAATAGCGGGACCTATGCGAACGCCTTACTAAAGAGCCTCATACACGACTTCTTACCATCTTCGGATCCTCGGAGGAAATGGCTTGGCGCTCGAAGTCTTATGGTAACGTCAGAATTGTACGTGGTATCTTTTCTTTGGGCGACGTGGAAATATGGAAGCGTATATAAGGAGCCGGTAGCTCCGGGTCGTGTTTCTGGTACATAGTACCAACATAAAAAGGTCCTCGTAGGGCGGATTACTGGAGGTTGTACCGCAAGAATGATGTCCAAGAATGTCGTTGAACCATTAGGTCCGTCGATTGGTGGGACAAAAATGAATAGCTGATTCGAAATAAAGGAATTGCTCTGATTTTTACCACGGCGACAATTGGAAACAGGAGGAGGGAAAGCGACCTAAGATACGAGAAATTGCTCCAGGTAAGACGAACATATCTCCAAATATACACGAAATATTGAGTTCAACATTTTCAGCCCGAATCTTCTCGACCGGATGAAAGAACGCCCCTACTCCAACCTCCTCACTCTTTGCCACCTCAACCAAAATCACACAGTCTTCAGCACTGGCTGCCATATCCAGACACTCGACAATTTCACAACAATATTCCCTCACGAATCCTCCGAAAATTCCCTTTCCTCCTCGAGATATGGTACTGGGCTTTGACGTACTGGCCGTACCAGCTAGCGCGAGCTCGAACAGCGGTTTGGATTAACAGCGACCCTGACCGGAAAGCCGCGATATTTGCACAAGCTGAAAGAAACGCTATCCGTGTTCTGCGAATTGAGGAGTGGCTGAGTATAAATATAGAGCATGGGTTGCAACATTTCATCTTAACTCGATGTCGATATTGGGTTATGACAGTCCTATGTGATGTCTACCTGTCTCACATTGCTGTTGGCGTTGCTTTTCTCGGATATGCATACACGTTGTCTACCCTCGAACCTCCGAGTTGGAGAAGAGTGCTAACTTACCATAGTTGTTTCCCACGAGAACAGTACCAGCGAGTTCGTCGCTCTATATTTCTCAACAACATACTCGCCTTCCTGATCATGAGCCTGTATCGATGTACTCCTCCCCGCCTAATGCCGTCCTCTCATCACTTCGTCGATGTCTTGCACCCAAATCCCTCAAACCCAGGAGCCACTCCGCCAAGTGACTGGGCGAACAATCGATTCCAATTGACGATTGCCGCGATGCCATCTCTGCATTTTGGGACTGCGTTGCTGATTGGCCTTTCGGTCGCAAGATGGGGGACACATTTGTGGTTCAGTGTCCTCGGATATTTATATCCGGTACTTATGTTTGTGGTTGTGATTAGTACGGCGAATCATTGGGTGCTGGATTGTGTTGCGGGTTTGTGTGTTGTTGGGCTCGGATGGGGTTTGAATTGGGTTGTGCTCCTGTTGGTACCCGTGGAGCAATGGTGTTTGTGGGTTTTGAGGGTTGAGAAGCCCGGCGAAGTTATGAGGATATCGGGTGAAGATGTGCAGGAGGGCAATGAGGTAGTTGTTGTCTCGTGAGGACTTGGATACCTGCGATACCTTGTCTTTTGAGGTCGACAAATAGCTCTTGAGACGTGGCCGTGGCACCTGTGATAGCATCCAGATGCTCGGATACGTGAAAGCTTATGTCTAGAAAAGAGCTTGGCTTGAAGGTGGGAACGAAGCACGACAACCTTACCAATTCGAATTTCGCAACCTCCACGGCATGCTAAAGCCCACGCACTTCCCTCTATATTCCAAGAGCTATTTCAACTTCTCGTCCTCTTACTCTTCAGCCACAATTCTGCTCTCCTCCAAAGTCCCTCTTCTCGCCCAATCACAAATCCCAATTCCACCCAAACTGGCCCAGATATGCACCCTACCCCTCTTTTACCAATTTGTTGCACATCGCAAAACGGAGTGTCTTTGTACCCGAAGTCCGAATGGGAGGCTTAGCTAGTTTCGTACCCTACCCGCCAATCAATCTTCTGTCTAAGCGACCCGCCCCCCTGAGTGCTCGGGTGCGGAATTTCGCTAGCCCGAGGAAGCGAGTCTAGACTTTATGAAATAGTCGGCGTTCCCCCTCCTTTTTGTTGAAAATAAATCGCCGAAGCTCTAGGGTAGGGATTCGAGAGTAGGAAAGTGGTTGAACGCGGATCGGGAAGTGGAGGCGGGGATGATCCAGCTCTCCATGGGGTATGTCGGATCCTGCTTTTTGTGATGTTGCACTGCGAGATCTACTTATCTTTCTGAAGTTGTTTATCTGGATGATAAGTGTCATCTCCTCTCAGCAAAGTTGATGATGCTTGAGAAATTTTGCAGCTGCGTCGTGGCCACTCCTAGTTGCATATGCCATAGCATTCTTCAACTGTCGGCGGACTTATCCGTTCTGGTGATATCTGCCCCAGCATTGAGCAACAGCTTCAACATGTCTATACGCCCATTAGACGCAGCTGCTTCAATAGTAGTATGGCCGCCATTTTCACCTCCTGCTGCGTCGATATCTGCCTCATTCGCCAGAAGAAGCTGTACGATACGTAGATATCCGCCGCCAGCGGCAGCTTGCAGTGCTGTGAGTCCTCTATACCATCTGTCTCCACGCCGACCAGGCGATGCGTTCACATCAGCTCCCTTTCTAAGCAGTAGATGTACCGTGTCATAGTTTCCCGTGTTACATGCTGCTTGAAGCGCGGTTCTTCCATATAATCCTTGACTCGTAACTCTAAAGTTGACATCGGTGCCACAGTCTATGAGTAAGTTGATAATGTCGTTGTCCCCTTGGGATGCTGCCAGATGTAAAGAACTAATCTTTTTCGGGGAGACCGAAGGGCATGGGAGGTCGTTGACATGAGCTTCAGCCTGTAGTAGTATTCGAACCACTTCCAATTGTCTCCTCCGGATCGCTATCTTTAACGGTGTCCATTTATTGCCGGCCGGAGCATTCACGTCTGCTCCTGCTTCAATCAATAAACTCACAAGCTCAACGTTTCCAGTTTCTGCAGCGCCTTGCATTGCTGTATGTCCTAGTACCGAAGCAGCCGCTCCGTTGACATCTACCCCAGAACTTATGAAGTATCGTACCAAATTGATATTATTCTCTCGACATGCGGCCTGCAAAGGATCAAGTCTATACTTGAAAGGTGATGGAAAGTCTTTGTACTGTGCTCCCGCTTTCAGTAGAGTCTTGATCATAGGCAAGTTATTGAGCTGTATAGCGCAGACCAGAGGGGTGAACTCACCCGGACTTTGCTCAACATTAGGACTAGCACCTTGGTCCAATAGTATTTGAAGGAGATCCAGGTTTTGGGTTTCGACTGCGGCACATAGCATTCCCCGAGTTGCCCATGTTGGATGTTTGATTATATCCCCTGAATCTACCAAAAGAGAAATAAGTTCTTTATTTTGCTTGCTGATTGCTATGATAATAGACTTATCATTCTGAGGGTTAGCTCCGAATGAAAGCAGAAGCTGGACAAGTCCAATGTCCTCGAGAGCTGTTGCTGCTTCAAGTGCTGTCCCATCACAATGGCCTGTTTGGTCATTAACATCGGCTCCAGAGACAAGAAGAAATTTCACTAGTGGAAGTTCTTTTGATTCTACTGCAGCAATGAGTTGGGTTTCGCATGCCGCCGCAGGGCGCGGCGTCGATGTCAGCGCCTGCGTCAATCAACCTTCGACACATGATCAAATTTCCACTACGAGCAGCATGCTGAAGGGCAGTTCTTCCGTTATAGAATGTTGCAGGCGCGTTCACATCCGCATTGAGATTCAAAAGACGTTCTACCACAAGATGGTTGCCGACCATAGTAGCGGACTGGAGAGGCGTATTGCCATCGTCTCCAGGCAAGCAATTCACATTTGCACCGCGCTTCAAAAGCTCATCCATTAGAGGAGTTGAACCAGCTCGAATCGCGCATTCGAGTGTACTGCCGTGCTCTCCACAGACTGCATCAATTTCGGCATCCTTGTGAAGTAGCAAGCTTGCTATCTCTAAGCTTCCTGCTAGAGCCGAGTTTTGCAATGCTGATGTTCCATAACTATGAGATATGTTTACTGCTGCTCCTTTTGACAAAAGCAAGCTAGCGATGCCAATATTACCAGTTCTGGCAGCAAGTTGTAGGGGCGTTTGCCCTGAAGGGTATGCGCCACCTTTGGACCATCCCTGATCATCATTAAGGTGAATATCGGCGCCTGAGTCAAGAAACATCTTTACCAGTGTAAACTACGTCCAGGTGCGCTACCTCTCTGGGTTTAACGCATCCGCTTTGAGGATGGTGTCACAATCACGGGGCTTGTGGGCCATAGGCCCAGCAGGCGAGGGATCGAAATAGGTTAGCGGGTCACCTGATGGATCATTGATCCTCATTGAGGGTCAATGAGGCTCATTGATCTGGAGGACAGAGGTTCTATATAACAACGGGCTGTCGCCCACTAGGTAGGAGCCTTGTGCTCAACTTGATTAAGTTTTCCTAACTACAATATCATTGCCTTATCTTACTTCATTCACCATACCAACCCACGTGACCTTACCAGGGTAAGGAGAGAGTCGTGACAGATGGCGCCTCGCGTACTAAGCCGCTGCTTTTGACGACGTTTATAAAAAAGCCTTTTTTTCTTTTATTAAAATTTTCGATTT